TTGTTGACTAGTTGATGGACCTTTCAGTTATTTTATTTTTTTTTTTAGTATAAATAAAGCTGCTATGAACATATGTATACAAGTCTGTGTGAAGATAAAGGTTTTCATTTCTCTTGGAAAGATCCCTATGATTAAGATTGTTGTATTATATGGTGTGTTTAACTTTAAGAAACTGCCAAACTGATTTCCAAAGTGGGTGTGCTATTTTACATTCCCACCTGTAATATATGAGGGGTTCCGAGTGTTTCAAATCCTTGCTAGTACTTGGTATATTTAGTTATATGGTGTTTAATGTTAGCCTTCAGTGGAAGTGGAGTCCTCTATCATTGTGGTTTTAATTTGCATTTATTTCTATAATGATTGGGGATACCAATCTATAGTTTCCTTTTTGTGGGGTAATGCTGGCCTTATAAATTCAGTTGGGAAGTCTTACTCTTCCAGTTTCTGGATGAGGTTTGTATAGAATTGGTGTTAATTCCTTAAGTGTTTGTAAGAATTCTGCGAGGGGCCCTTGGATGGCTCCATTGCTTAAGTGACTCTTGGTTTTGGCTCAGGTCATGATCTCAGTTTGAGTTTGAGCCCCATGTCGAGCCCTGCACTGAAAGGATGGAGCCTGCTTGGGATTCTCTCTCTCCCTCTTTTTCTGCCTGTCTGCCTCTCTCTTTCAGAATAAAGAAGTAAAATTATTTTTAAAATTCTCCAGTGAAACTATTTGCACCTGTTTCTTTTTCAGAAATTTTTAGACAAATTCTATTTAGTAGTTACAGGACTATTTAGAGCTTCAGTTCTTTCCATGAATTCGCCCGTTTTATCTAAGTTGTGTTTATGAGTCTCAAGTTGTTTAAATATCCCCTTATCCTTTTAATGTCTGAGGAATCTATAATAATATCCCCTTTCATTCTTGACACTGGTAATTTTCTTTTTATTAGTCTTGCTAAAAGGTGCATGAGTTACATTCATCTTTTCAAAGAACCCATTTTTTTAATTGAGTTATTAAAGATTAAGTTCACATTCAACATGGGGCTCAAACCCAGGACTCTACGACCAAGAGTCACATGCTCTCCCAGCTGAGCCAGTCAGGCTCCACTAATTGAGCTGTTTTCTAATTGTGGAGATTATATTCTGGATGCCACTGCTTTATCAGATCTGTATTTTGCAGGACTTCCTCCTATTCTGGATTACCTTTTCTTCTGTCACAGAGAAGGTATTTTTTTATTTTAACAAAGTTGGGTTTATAGTTTTTTTCTTTCATGGACCCTGCTTTTGGTGGTTGTCAAAAAAAAAAGTCATCGCCAAACCCAAGATCACCTAGATTTTCTGTGTTACTTTCTAAGGGGTTTACAGCTTTGTGTTTTACATTTAAGTCTAAGTTTCCAAGTAAGTGGTTATTTTTGTTACTGGTTTCTAACCCAAGTGTAATCCTAGAACTCTTAATTTCAGTCCTTTAAAATTTGTTGAGACTTGCTTTATGACCCAGGGAATGATCAAATGTGTAAATATTCTGTGTTCTTGAAAAGAACGTATATGCTTAAATTGTTGCGGTGTTGTATATGTATGCCTCTTAACTTTGAAATTATCGTTAAGACCTCCCATACTTTATTGATTTTTATCTCCTCTACACTTTTTTTTAATTTTCTTTTTAATGTTTTATTTATTTCTAGGAGAGAGAGAGACAGCGTGAGCAGGGGAGGGTCAGAGAGAGAGGGAGTCAGACTGAAATAGGCTCCAGGCTCTGAGCTGGCAGTCAGCACAGAGCCCGATGCGGGGCTTGAACCCATGAACCGCGAGATCATGATCTAAGCGAAAGTCAGACGCTTAACCGACTAAGCCACCCAGGCGCCCCTCTACACTTTTATTTTTATGTAGCAAATGAGAGAGTTAAAGTGTTACAGGTTATGATTTGGGCTTAATTTCACATTTCTCCCTAATTTTGTTTTCTATATATTGAGACTGTATTATTGAGAGAAAATATATATGGAATTGTTTTATCTTCCTGATTCAGTAAGACTTCCATCATCGTCTCGGCTCTTCGGCTCTCTCTGTCCCTAGCCATACCTTTTATCTTGAAGACTATTTTGTCTAATGTTGACATAGCTACATGTAGTGTGAATATGGGCATGTTTTGCCCAGATCCTGTTTCAGGACTGAAGGCCTATTCCCTTAGCCACTGCAAATGCTGTCAGATGACTGCCTTCACCCATCAGCCCTCTACAGGATTGTCCTCAGCTGACAGGAGTCACTTTACCCAAGGCCACTTCCCCCTGGGGACAGCCTGCGTCCTGCGACCAGTCAGCAGGTTGTAAAGGTACAGTCCCCTTGCCAGTGCTCCCTCTCTCTCCCTTGTCATCTGGGACTCCAGTTAACCCTCTGCATTTTCCTTGTCTCTTCGCTATGTGCTTCTCTGTGGGTGTTTCTTCTAGCCTCTCTACCAGTTCACCAATTATCTAATCTGTTAAACCTAGTTCCATAATTACTAGTGCTGTTTTTCTTTTTTTTCCTCTGTTGTTTCTTATAGTTGTTAGTACTGTGTTGTATTTTAAAGTTTGGCCGAGATTTATCTCTAAAAGTGATTATAATTGTTCTATGTATCATGATTTCACTGTCTAGAGGCCCTGTAAGTATGTTTTTTCTGTATCATTGATGCTGGGTCTTCAAGTGTTTGCTAATTTGCTGAAACTTCTGAGAGCTTGTTTTTGGAAATAACTGAGAACTAAGATGATGCTAGCTTCCTCCAGAGTAAGGCTTAACTTCCTTTTGTCAGGACCTCAGCGTGCTAGAAGCCCAGAGAGCAAAGTTCATGATCCTCCAAGTTCCATATCCTCACTCCAGAAGAAGCCCTTTGGAGATGGCCAACAGTGATAACTGTAGGTGTTAAACTCTGCCCTGCCTTATTTACCACTGCAGTCCCACAAGTAGCTCTGCCTCTGCTGCTTTCTAAAGTCCAGGGAAAATGCAGCAGTGATTTGGGATGGAAGACAGAGTAAAGAGGGGAACGGATCTTGCTAGTTCCAGAGAAGGTACACACCCATCTCTTGGCTCTTCCATCACTGGCTTGAGGAAAAATCCAACAGAGATGCCTTTGATTGGTGTTTCCTACCACGCGGCTGTATACGACTAAACAAAAGATAACAGGGAAACTAGCGTTTTAAGGTTGACAAGTGGTGGTGTAGGCAGAATTTTAAGATGATCCCCATTATCCTTGCCCCCCCCGCCACGTGTTACATCTGTGGTTATGTGATGTTGCACGGATAAAGGAATTTTGTGCCTCTAATTAAGGTCCCAAATCAGTTGATTCTGAGTTAATCATAAGGGTGATTACCCTGTTGTGTGTCTAATATAATTACATGAATTCCTTAAAAGCAGAGTTTTCTTCAGGTGGTAGCATGAGATGGAGTCAGATTCCAAATGTGAGAAAGATTAAACATGCCATGGCTGTCTGGAAGATGAAGGAACCCACGGCGAGGAATATGAACAGGTTCAAGAAGCTGTGAAGCACCCCCCACCCCTGGCAGCCAGCAAAAAAGCAGGGTTCTTGATCCTACGACTACAAGGAACCGAATTCTGCCAACCACAGGTATGATGAGCATGAAAGATATCAAGCTCTGGCTGAGAGAGCAGCTGGCCAACACTCTGAGGTCAGCCTCGTGAGATTGAGAGTAAGCACTGGACCCACCAGCCATGTTGGCCTTCTTACTACAGAACCATGAGATAATAAATGGGTGTGGCTTAAGGCACGTGGCAACCTGTCACGCAGTAAAAGAAAATACAGGTGTCCGTCTTTGCCTTCCACCAAGATTCACAACGTGACAAAATTTCACAAGCACAAAGGTTTGGATACTAGGTGGCCAAAATGAGTAGGATGTAACAAAACCACAGACTATTTAAGATAGGCTGTTCAGTCATGCAGTTTTGTGGAAACAGAAGAAACATCATGGCCCAGCTCTTAAAACCGCCCCAATCTTCTGGGGCAGCTGATGCCAACCTGTACCCAACAAGGAAAGATCAGTGGCCTTGAATGTTAGCTACAAATACCTTCTGAGTAGAACTCTGATTTGACTCCAAATTCAGTAAATTATATATTTAATACATCCTATAATGAATTAAATCAGACAAGTACTAAAGAACAAGTATATACAAAATCTTTATAAATTCACTTATTTCACCAAAAGTATACAAGCAGTATCAAATCATTGGGACAAAAATGAGTATTTCTGTTCTCCACAGGTCACTGAAAGAAGTCCTCCTACAATTCCAAGAAGCTGTTCATAGAAACTGAACTAGGTTTGGAAACAGTACTGTGTCATGTAAAAATTATAATTCAGTTGAAATTAGACATTGTGACTATGTTAAATATCTGCTGTATAACATTTTATCCAATAACAGTATTAACTGCTTGCTAAATAAGGCTTTGATTTATAAAATGGACATATTTCTAAGACTGTTTAACATCTCTACTTATAAATTAATTCACAGGATTCCTATAGTTGCTTTTTAGCTTCAGTTGGATTTAGCAAAACTAATACAACATGATCCCCTTTGCAAGCAATGGATTTACCTTCCTTCCTAAATGCAAACATCACATGAAATTAAATTACAACTTTTTAACCTCTCCTCTCACGGGTTTGTGACCTGAAAGAGGAGACCAATGCCTTGTTTACCAACCTGGACACATCTCTTGCTGTGTCCACTGCTATCACTTCACTGGCCCGACCTCAAGGGACTCAGGGCCTGGCATGTCTTTTACACCCAGAACTGTATGCATAAGTAAAGGAGAGCGAACCAAGGACGAGAAGGCCCCGGGTGCACCACACTGGCTCACTGCTGAGTGGCAGGATGCAGGCTGTGTGAGCCCAGCATACTGGGCTCCCACGCTAGGCTTCTGCTTTACTTACATCACTCATGATTTGAGTACCTGGTTGGCAGGCAGTAGCTGGGACAAGTCATACACAGATCTGAGTCCTCGAATAATATACCCTTTGCCTGGCTTTGTCCCTTTGTGGAAGAAAATGGAGTAGAGAGGAACATAGCTGCCAGTAAAAATTACTTTCCCCCCTCTCTGTCTTCCAAACCCTCACTCCCGGTGTATAAAATGTACTATTAAAATGGTCTTTCTCTCTCCTTGCACCAATAGAAAAAATGAAGTTCTGCAGACACCCACAGATAAGAGATCCTCCAAAGCGAGCAAGCAAGACCCTTAGTACATATAAAATGGATTCCCATGAAGATCAATACGTTATGCTTTGATTAGGTACCAAGCTGGCATCCTGATACCTCGGTGAGGCCTAAATTTTATCTTCCTTGAGACTTTATTTCAGCCAACTGCCTCTTTGGAAACAGGAGTAGAACAGTCAAAAATAGTAAAGAAATTACAAAAGGCAAAATTATTAAAGGCAAAGCAGCCTCATGTCATGACGTTTATCAGCTCCTTTGGGAATATTAAAAAAAAAAAAAGTATGACCCCTGTCAAACAGTCAGGATTTTGTCACTTAGGTGAACCATCTAAATTCTATCTTATTAGAGTAGCTTGAGTTTTATCAGCCTATACCAATATTGGGTGAAAGGGATGTAAAAAGAAAATCTAAGTAAGCTTCTCTCCTAAGGATGGAAAGAGGTGGCAAAAATTCAAGTGTCAATTTCCCTTTCCTGGGAAGAAGTTTAGATAAACTCAGCAGCTCACCTTTTGAGCTCTACCAGCTGTCCTCATAGCATTAGAATCATCTAAAATACAAGAGGAAGAAAAAATATTTACAAAACTGGGCATTCCTTAAAAACAACTCTTGCTAATACTGGGAAAACCATATAAAGGAAATGCTAGAAGACAGACAGTAACATCCTTGGCAAAGTGAGGAAAGTGTTCTTTCCTCATCTAATATACATTTTTAACGCCAGAAAATGGTGAACCTGGAAGGAGCTGGGAGGCTGTGTGGTCCCTGAAGTGGGCTGCTCAGCTATCTGTGGACCTAAGGAAGTTCGCAAGTGGACGGCTGTGTGTACACCGCACCTTGAGAACTCACTGTATTGGGAAGCTGTTCTGAGAGAGCATAACCACGTGGCAAGCTTAAAGGCAAGTGTTTTCATTCTTTTCATCAAACAGGCTGTGTTAAAATCCACAACAAAGCCGGCCCAGAGCCAAGCAGCCCACTGTGATGTAGTGCAAATCTCACGGTAACGGAAGGCGGTCGAGAGGCTACACGTTGGTTTCCAGCCCTAGCAAGCGTCCCATTCTCTCCACGTTCTTGTCAATGGTAGCCTGACAGGTTATCTCCTTGGCACATTCCATAGGAAACCAGCCTCTCTCTCCATCTCGCAGCCGTTCTCCCTCATACCAGCCTGCAACCAGGAACAGAGTCTTCATGAAGCAAGGAGTGGATGAGTCTAGACCCTGTCTGACACTGAGGCGAATGCACCTCAGCGCGTGCATGACAGATGACCGAAGGTGAGGAGAAAGCGGAACAGAGGGAAGGGCCTCAAGGAGGAATGGATGACATACATACCCGAGGCGGGACGCGGTCAGGAGCCCTGAAGGGAGAAGGCTGAAGAGAGCCTGTGAGCTTGGGTTGGGCTGGGGAAGGGAGGCTGTGCGTACGTAGGGGCAGCAGGTATATGATTTTCTTAAGTGAGGAAGGAAGAACCTCTGGAAATGAGAAGTCACTAGGGGAGCAGGAAGGAAGGGAAACTTTTCGTGGTTCCTTTTGAATAAAACACCATGTGACTGCATTCCTATTCTTCAACAAAAGCAATAGTGTAGATAAAGGAAAGGCAGGTACATAAGATCAAACCCAGGGGATATGAAACATGAGCATTAGTGACAAAGTGAGACTCCTCGGCTCTTTGGCACCTTGAATGCTGCACGGAGAGTACCCCTAAGGACCCAGACTCACCGTCGCTGACCCGTTGATAGATGAGAACCACATCCGCCACCTGTAGGGAGAGTTCGTCTGGCTGTTTGGCAGTGAACGATCTAATGATTTCCACCTGGGTCAGTGCTGCGGGGGCAAAGGGGACATACTAAGCTCCAGGTAGCAGAACAGGTACAAATCAATACAGTATATTTACTCAATGTTTCTGTGAAAAATTCTGTGAAAGTCAAGGGCAGCACTGACAGAAACAAGTTAAGCTTCTATCAAGCAGAAACTGAGTTCCTGGAACGGTCTTAACCGGCTAAGGGCTTTAGAACTCCAGAAGCTCAGGATCAAGAGAAGCCTTTTATGATGCATGAATCCCCTCAAAAATAGCCTTGATAAGGAGCCATTAGTCATGTCGTACAGTAGAGCAGACAACAGCCATTGGCAAAACTGAGGCCAGGCAGATTAGGTAACGTGCCAAGGTCATGCAACTGAGGATAAAACCTGTGATACACCCCTTCTCCAGGCCCCCACCCAGGGTGCTTCCCCAGCCCACCAGCACAAGAAAGCTGCCAAGCAAGTTCAGAAATAAAAGGAGCTCCAACCAAAAGTAAGACAACATTTTAGAGTTCTCCCAAAATGCTGAATCATAACAAAACAACTGTAACTTCAGTCACTTGGTACTGACATGAGTTCTTAATCTGTTTTAATAAAAACCTTGATTCTAGGCAACTTTTAAGCCAGTCACTTTAGCTCTGGCTCTAAGCTTAAAGTATGACTTTTGAGTGCTCCAAGATAACCAATGTGGCTGCCCTCGTTCTTCCATTTTGACCTTCCAGCTAGAAACATCTAGAGAAGCATAACATCAAAAGTTACAGGGCTACTAAGCACATGACACCACCCTTTACTGCATCAGTTCCTACTTCCCTAGAAGAATGAAACACATTCTCTTAATGTTATCACTTTAATAAATAAGGTCAAAAGGAATGGTAACGTAATTTTCCTGAAGGTTAAAAAATACTATTTCTGCTTAGATTCAGACTGTCTGTATGGAGAAGGCTTAACTGTGCAACTCTTGCCCATTAAACTGCCGAAAATCAAAGAGCTTTACAGTACAAGCAGGGCTTTCAATGTAGGTAAATTGAACTTCTGACAATAATCCTGTATTGTATAGTGATGCCCCTGACTTGCAGATGTACAGGCTCAGGAAGGCTGTGCTATGACTGGGCACGTTTATGCAACAAAGAATTGCACCTTGGATTTGAATTCAGACCCCCTGACCTCCAAAGCAGGGATCACACAGTGCTGACTGGAGGGCCACAGGAAGGAAAGCTGGAGGAACCTTACGGGGGGGGGGCAGGTACAGGGGCAATTAAGCACTAATAACCCAGCGTCCAGCAGGGGGCGCAGCCCCTCCACATTCCAGAGCAGCCCACCCTCCAGGTACTTACAGGTTCGGTCCAGAGGCTGCTTCCCGCTACTGTGTCCCAGGGCGGTGACCCAGCGGGCCCGCTCGCTCCTAAAACACACAGGCCATGTCCAACTGAGAGACTCAAGGTGTTTGGAGACACAGTGCAAAGCCATTCCCCGAAAATGGGAGAGACTCCCCAGAGTTATGGGGCTGCCCTTCAGAACAGGGGGAATATGAGTTACTTTAAAAAGATAACCTGGGGAATCTAGGCTGAAAACTAGTCAACACTGTTAAGATTCTGAATGAATCTGGCTGGTCATTGATTAAATAGAATTTCTCATCTAACAGTTTAACATTTTTTTCTCATTGAAATTCAAGTTAGTTAACATACAGAGTAGTCTTGGCTTCAGGAGTAGAACCCAGTGATCATCCCTTACATACAACATTACCATTTAATAAAGAGTCGATTACACTATGATATAACATAATCACATTAGGATGTTTAGTACACTCAGTCTGATATTTAACATTTCAAAAAAGTGAATTTCAGTTAAACTCCTAATAAATCAGTGTCTCTACACTCTCTTCTCCTTTCCCCACACTCAAACCATTTCAGAAAAGATGAGAAACTTGACCCATTTAAAGTTGTGTGGTTCCTCATACAGCTAATACTGCCAAACATGAGCCTTATGGAAATAAAAATTCTTTGAACGTTTTTACACTGTTCGCAAACGCTTAAAATGGCTTAATGAAAACAGCCCAAAAAATGTTGAAAGAAAAAAACCAACTGGGACTTTATATAATACTAAGCTATCGTTACATGAAACAAAACAATTATTTAACTAAAGGATCAGAAGTTTCAGAGAAGCATTACTCCATAATCCAGTTATCCTCAGCAAGTCCAGTATTAGGACTGCAATTAAGTAAATAAGGTTCTCACACACACACTTTAAAACCTCCAAGGCACTGAGTAACCCATACTACACGGCAGATACAAGCACGTGACATTATTATTTCATGTAATCCTCCAAAAGCCCATTTAAAGGATGAGAAGGAAGGCTGCATGGAGGGTCCTAGGCAAGTGATGCAAGTCTAGGTCAGTTTTTAAAATGTACTCCAGGGGCTCCTGGGTGGCTTAGTCGGTTAAGCTTCCGACTTTCGCTTAGGTCATGATCTCGCGGTTCGTGGGTTCGAGCCCCGCGTCGGGCTCTGTGCTGACTGCCAGCTCAGAGCCTGGAGCCTGTTTCAGAGTCTGTGATTCCCTCTCTCTCTGACCCTCCCCTGCTCACGCTGTCTCTCTCTCTCTCCTAGAAATAAATAGAACATTAAAAAAAAAAATGTACTCCATCTTAAGGGACGTCTTTATGCCCAGTGCTTGAAAATAATGTTCTTCTCCTGTAACAGCCTGTACCTAAAGATGCTTCTCACCATTGCCCCATCTTCACCACCCCTCAGACATCCTTCCACCTGGGCTGAGCAGACTGCGTGCGGGCCTGGGGCACGCCATGCTGTTCCCCACCCTTTCCTGCCTGTTACCACTCTCAAGTAGAACGTCTGTTTCCACCCCTCGTGCTCACTCCTCATTAACGAAGAGCATACATAAAGCAATGCGCTAATCTCACGTGTACAGATCTGTGAGTGCACATGGAGGTGCACCCAACACCTTGTGTCCCTTTCCCAGCAACATCCTCCCACAAGGAGAACCACCACCAGGGACTCATTCTACCTGTCTTGTACCCCTTATAATGATCCTACTGTATAGCAGGAGCCCACACCTCCATCCCCATCCAGTTTGCCAATCCTGCTCCCAAGCACTCCTCTGCTCAGCCCTATCACACTGCCGGCCAGCTGTGAGCCATGGGAAGGCAGCCATCTTGTCCATTCAGTTCACTGCCATATCCCAGAACATAACCGAGGCCTATAAACATCTGTTAACCGGATCATCACGACCACTCATTACACACTGACCCCCATTTAGTGACTTGTCTGTTTCTCTTACTAGGCCATAGGCTTCAGGAGGGAAGGCGTTGAGTCTTGTTCTAAATACTTCTAGAGCACTTGTGTGCCAGCTATGGTATTTTTTTGTATTTGGTGAGTACCATCTAATTTAGTCTTTACAATAATCTTGGAAATTAAATATTACCATTTTTCTTCCCCCCCCCGCCCCTCTCTTTTTCCCCCTCTCTTCTCTCCAGAGGACAAAGCTGAAGTTTGGAGTGTTAATCACTTGCTCACAGAGACACGGTGGAGTCAGAAAATAAGCCAGGTAATCTGGGATCTAATAGGTGGTGCTCCCTAGTAGGTGTTCTCAAAGTAATGAGGGAAGGGGTGCCTGGGTGGCTCAGTCAGTTGAGTGTCTGACTTCGGCTCAGGTCATGATTTCTCGTGAGTTGGAGCCCCACATCGGGCTCTGTGCTGACGGGTCAGAGCCTGGAGTCTGCTTCAGATTCTGTATCTCTGCCCCTCCCCCACTCACACTCTCTCAAAAATGAATAAACGTTAAAAAAAATTTAAAAAAATAAAGAGTGAAGTGAAGAGGGGTGGAAAGTGTGATGTGCTGAAAGACAGACTGGTTTATGAAAATGAGGCTGGGCCCTAATCAAGCTGGTGCATCAAGTAGTAATGTGGACAATTTGTGTAGAAACTGGTGATACAGCTTACTTTAAAAAACAACAAAAAAAAATATAGGACACAAAGGGCTTAGGGTGGTTGCCTATGGAACAAGCACAGCCTTCTTTAAAACAATCTTAAGCCAACACTTAAATCTTTGATATCTCTGTCAGAAGATTTATTTTTTACTCAGGCTCAACTGGAATTTCCAAAGTACAAAGGCAACTGAAAACTAAATAATATTGTACGGATGGAAAAACTGTTGACTAAGAGACATCTAAAATGACCCACGTGTGTCTCTGTGCCCTTGCCAAACACGTCCGCCTCCTCTGTGCCTTGCCGTGCGTCTTCCTGACGGCCCTGACTCCCGTCCGCAGCCTTCACGTTAGACTCCCAGGCACAGCCCTCCTCTGGGACCGAGTGGCCGGTTTCAGCGACGGCCTGACCCTGCAGACAGTTTCCAGAAATCCAGATGAAACCTTTCACTCGTGTGGCATGCTGCCTGGATGCTAACGGCATCCCTCAGACATGGCGGCCCCTCACAGAGCCTCGAGAGGACCGGAACAAGACACTCCTTGTTGCCCTCGCTGAAAGGAGCCGCTTCTTGAAATGGCTTCAATGGAACCAGTCCCACCCCCTCTTACATGGCGTCAAAGCCGCACAACTTTCCCCGGGGCCTCCAAGAGCCCTGCCAAGGCGCCTCCTCCTACTAGGAGGCATCCCTAAAGCAGGGAGGAGACTCCCTCAGTAGAAGAAGGACCTCTGAGAACAAGAAAAGCCAGAGCACAGACATACCCATTATTAAACTGAGATATCAAGCCCAGGGCTCACTTGCAGACAGCTATTTTCTCCAGGGACAATATGAAACAATCAGCATGAATTCATAGTCCACCCCACACCCGGTTCACAGACTTTTCCCTTTGTCCAAATAAAATGAGAGAATAAGCACCACCACTCATGTGGACCTGGGCACATCCACTTCCAAGATACCTAACCACTGCTTCCTTAGACCAACATCCACTGAGCGCCTCCTGCCTCTGCAGAAGCCCTGTGCTAGGAGAGGGTTGCGAAGTGAATAAAACAGGGTCTCTTGTTCTCCACAGCCTTCGGTGTGAAGGAGCAGAGAGGGAAGGAAACACACACAAAATCCAGTATGGCATGCAGTGGGGCTGCGTTGGAACATTCTGGCACCTAGGGAGAGAAAGAAGACTGAGAAGAGACATCCCACAATAATATCTGTAAGGACAGTCCTTTCCTAAGCCCCGTGCTCTTCATGCACGGCATAAAATTAAACACCTACAGTTCCCTACTCAGGAGTAAGCTGTGGTAGCACCATGGTCTGCCTCTCATACAATTAATTAAGCACAGTAGGCTGAAACGTAATTGCACAAAGATCGAAGACACATCTGGACTTCTCATTGAATGCCAGGCATCTGCTAGAAAAGACAGATACGTACTGAGAAAAGTGGAGAGGAAGCTTTGAAGCAAAGAGGCAGGGCTACAGAACAGACAGGGGCTGTTGAATCTACTTTGTGTCCCTCTTACGGTGGCAGATACCTTTTGTGTTCCTGGTCACCATCTAAAATTTACCTATGGATCCTATTGAAACTCCTATACCTGTAGCCTTTGGGGGAAAGTCCTTCAAGCCTTTGTAAAGAGTAGGTTTGTACGGATGGTTATTTTTGTTTGTTCCCTCACACTCCGTTCAACTGGATGCGTTCTGATCCAGGTAAGAAAAGCCACAGGGTAAAAAAGGTCATCATGAACGCTGTGCATCAAAATCTTACAAAGGTGGCCGTGTGCTCCATTTAAAACATCTAACCAAGCCAAGCAATTCCCTTAGCCTGCTAAGAGAGTTCTAAAAATCAGATTTTGTGACATGTTATGCAGTTAAGCCAATTTATTTCTTATTTATCATATCAAGTAGCTCACGAGACTAGAGTCTGGCCTGGAATCCTGGAATTACCGAAAGTGGGTCAATTATCTGTTTCCTTGATGATAAGAGACCCATATCGTCACCTGCCCTCCTGCTGAACTGGGGTTGCTGAGGACGATCACAAAAGATCAAGTGCTTTGACAGGCACCGTGCAACGTAGGAGATCATTTCTGGCTGTGGATTCCAGACGCAAAGAGGAAAAATACTATAACCTATAATAAATACATTTTTTCCACATACATTACCATCTACTGTGGATTTTTTTTAGAAGACGAAGAATAAGAGCATGTCAGACATACTATTTACAATTTTATTCCATCCCATTTACTTCCTGTTGCTAATTAAATCATTAACAGAAGCAGGAAGGCCGCCGGCTCCCTGGCAAACAATGCCCCTTTATCAGGAGGCCCAGGAATTGGTTGTCTGGAGGGCTGACAGGGCCAACCACACTCACGAGGCTTCTAGTTCTTTCAGTGAGGGAGAAATTTTGAGAAGGATCTTTGACTATGGTTCAAGGTGATTATATTCTATAACTCAATACAATGCAGAAAGAAAACGTGTG